AAAAACTTGCAAAGTTTACATTTTAAAAAAGTCTGAAGAGTTCATCCTAAGAGTAGATACAAGGTAAACTTGCGTTCTCTTACCATTTTTACTAAGTACAGTACTACAAGTTCAAACCAGAGAAATTAATCAAGAAAAAGAAATGAAAGTGATAACAGGGGCTTGGAGACATGACTCAGAGGTTAAGAGCACCTGGTGCCCTTGCAGAGGACCTGAGTTTGGTTCCCAGCACTCACACAAGGGCGCGGGTGGGGGAGAGCACTCACAGCTGTCTATAACTCCAACTCCATGGGATCTTATGCCTCTAGCCTTCCTGGACACCTGCACACACATGCACATACCCCCTTCACACACATATATACACACAATTAAAAAGAGTAAAAATAAAATCTTTTAAAATTAAAACATAATAAAAATGATTCCCATTGGAAAGGACTAGCATAAACGCTCTACTTTCAAATGGTGACATAAACAAATACAGAGAGTAACCTTCAGGAAGAACTGGGTTTTCTAACTTAGGAGGCATGCAAGCAGCATTAGATTTCGAAGGATGCGTTAAATGATGAAGAGGAAACAGTACTGGATGGACTCCAAAGATCAGCTTGCTTGGAGGATTTTCTACTGATAGTAGAAGAGGAACTACAAGGCAAAGAGCAGAGTATACTAAAGGAACTGTGGCAAGAAGTATTCTTTGTGAAGAGAGGTCGGGGAAAGCTTGGTGCTGAAAGGATCAAGAAGCCTCTGCTGAGGAAGTGATGCTTGAGTTCTGACATAGATGCTGCATGGGCTGTAACAGCAGACACTGTTCTGGGAGTAAAGCAGGCCTGGCTATGAAACCTGGTTTTACAACATAGTGGCTATGAGGCTTATGGAAAGTCACATACCTCTCTCAGACTCACATTATCGGTAAAAGTGGTGGTCATTCTTGATTTACATAATTTTTATTTGTTTTAATATGAAAAGAGCAACATGCTACAGAGGTATGGGGCACTATTATTATTATTATTATTATTATTAAAGTGTAAGGACACCTTTTGGAAGTCTTTGATTTCCTTTGGTAACTATATAAACCTCTGTAATTATAAAAATGTCCCTTTGTTCATTTTCTGTGTATTAGTGTTTTGCCTGCATGCATGTTAGTGCACTAGGGAGGTAAGGAGAAGGCATCCGATTTCCTAGAACTGGAGTTATGGATGGTTGTTAGCCACCATGCCAGTGTTAGGAACCAAACCTAGGTGCTTTAAAAGAGCAGCCAGTACTCTTAAACAGTGAGCCTGAAGGTTATATAACAGAAATCACAGTGCCAGGAAGAGGACACTCCCTTTGAATTATTGATTGGGCTGGTTCAAGAAACTCCCAAAATAACACAGCTATTACTAGAGCCTTTGATTGCCTTCCAGAACTTGAAGATAAGACCCTATGGCTGAAGACAGGACATACTTCAAACACAGAACTTGGAGCAATCAAGGTGGAGCTAACCTAGAAGCCTCCTCTCTGAAGACTAGCTCTCATAGTATCATAATGCCAAATTAGGGAGGATTCAGTCTAGCTATACAGTCTGTGAGCAACAACAATGTCTGTACCAGTAAATAATCTCTATTGGTGCAGGAGTGGCACTTTTATCTTGAGGATAATCAATAGTTGTCTAATTGGACTTATAGCTACTCAATGAGAGGGAATTCAGGTGTGGTACTGTAAACACAGCCAATTAAACATGGTTGGAGATGGCATAGATCCAGGAGAAAAACGTTCTTTTGTCACATTTCTAGACCAACATAGTTTACTATATTCTAAATACATAGCTCTATAGTTATAGACAAGTGTCCTCACCACTCATCAAAGAAGAGCTGGAGACTATTTCAGAGTTCCACAACTGGCCAAACACAGAGAATAATTGTCTGTGAGATGCCCAGCCCTAAGTGGCAATCTACAATACAACCTTTATACGTAAGTGTCAGAGAACATAGTAGAAGGGGGCAGAAAGAATATTAATGCATCTCTCAACTCTTACCAGCAAAGCTTCCTTATGCAACAGATAGTCATTAACCCAAAAAGCCACAACTGACCAAAGTGCAGAGAATAAGAGACTGAAGAATGCTTATCCTTAATAAGATACCTACATCAAACCTTTGCCACCAAAGGCTCAGGGACCACTGTGGAAGAAGGGGTGGAAAAATTTTAAGAGTCATAGGTAGTAGATGACCATAAGGATACAGTTTTCCAGACAGCTGGGAAGTTACTCATATGAACTCACAGCAATGGTTGCTGCATGCACAAGACCCACACAAGCTGAAGTCAGACAAAATCCCAGCACAGAAGTGATAAAGTGTGTAAGAAGATTCAACCTTAGCTGAGCAAAGATTGGCAACCAATAAATACTGGGAAACTGAGAGTCCATTGTCTTTAAGGGTGTGACATTAGATAGGTTAACAAGTCTCCAGTGCATAGACCCCCTCACTGATGGACATTAGAGTACACAATTTGACTTGAAAGGCCTAAATATATATGACAGAGTGCATGAAATTCAGAGGGACAGGGGCAAAGAAGGAGTACAGATAGAGGAGCGTGGAGGGAGTCTAAATATGATCAAATATATGATATGAAATTCACAAAAATTCACCAAAAGTCTGATGCCTAACAAAGTATGCCTAGTATAGGAGACATTGGAAGAGTCATGACATGTGTAGTGAAATTCAGAATATTTTGTGGTTCGAATTTTATTACAGTAAATTTTGATTTAAAAAAAAAACTAAGAAGAGATTATAGAAGAAAACCATCATCAATAAAGTCTTTTCACAAATATTAAAACACATACAGAAAGGCCACACTCAGCCACTCACAGATACTGGTAAATCTTATCAACATAAAAGTAAAAGTGCTTGCAAATGAACATAAATACACATATATGGACTGGGGATGTACCTCGGTTAGGATAACGCTTGCTTAGCCTTTATGGATTCAATTCCTAGCACTGCATAAAATCATGCTTGGTCACAGATATCTGTAATCCCAGCACTTGGGAAGCAGAGGCAGGCAGATTTCTGTGAGACTGAGGTCAGCCTGGTTTACATAGTGAGTTCCAGGCAACTGGGGCCATAGAAAGACCCTGTCTCAGAAAACAACAAAAAAAACAAAATAAAAACTAAAAAGAAGTTAAAGGTTATCCTCTACTGCAAAAGAACTGGATTTTGAGGACAACCTAGGCAATATGAGGCCTCAAAAATTAATTAATATACAAACAAATAACAAAGAAATGCATATTTAAGTTTGCACATATGTATATATACACACATGCACATATACACATACACACATGACATGGGTGCACTTACGTACATGCAGGCATAACACTCACACACATAAAATAAAAATAAAATTTAAAGAAAGTTTTAAAAAAGCCATCTTTTTCAAAACCCCTACATAAGCACTTGGGTGATACACACATAGGCTCAAAAGCTAGAATGAACAAAGATCAAAAGATGAGACCAGACAAGTTGCTTAATTGTTTCATGATCAGCTCCTCTGTGTACTTGATATCCCTGCAGCCTATCCTGCTCCTTCAATCAAATCATCTATATCAATTTTGAGTTTCCAAGAACCAGTCAATGAGATATCCATTATCTATAATGCAATCCTCATTGTTTCATATTCTTTACAGTTTCAGAAGACTCAAAGCAGAAATAACCCAGAGAGGAAAGCTAGGGAGATAGGAAAAAGTCAGAGAGAAGACAGACAGACAGACAGACACACACACACACACACACACACACACAAGTAATATAAATAATGATATCTATTCATTCATTACATATCCATTCCTCAAATATTTGGATGTCAGATTTTATGGTAGATTTGGGACTCCAAACTGATTTAACAAAGATAAGTCACCCTTCTTTCTTTTCTTTTAATGTAATTGGGCAAATAACAAAGGAATAATTATACTTCTTTCGATTATATTCTTTCAGTTACATTCTTTGTATAATCCAGTCTTGGCTCAAGTTGAAAAGTATGATCCTGGGGCGGTGACACTAGCTGGATAATGTTGGATTGGTCTTCGTTTTCTAAAGTGTGAGGCAGGCACAATAAACATCAATCCCTTTAGGGACATGGTAACAATGTCTGTAGGTCAGTGCATGACACAGGAAGTAAATGCCCAATCAGAGCTTTAAGCCTAGAAAAAAATAATTACTGACTGGAAGACTCAACAGAGTGCAGAGAGCATGTGACGACAGCATGGATCACAGCCGGAGGCTCCGTTTCTTGGCAGTGTCGGGATGTAGGAGAACTCAGAGGGAATGTTCTAAGTGACAGCCAAATGTAGCTCTCTTAAATCCATCTTTGGGGATGGAGAGATGGTTCAACAGTTAAGAGCACTGGCTGTTCTTACAGAAGACCAGCACTCACACGGAGGCTAAAACCAGCGTATAACTCCAGTTCCAAGGGAATCAATGCCTTCTTCCATCCTCTGTGGGCATTGCACGACATGGGTGCACTTACGTACATGCACGCATAACACTCATACACATAAAATAAAGTTTTATAAAAAGTTTTTAAAAGCCATCTTTTTCAAAACCCCTGCATGCTCACCTCATTTACCATCTCTTTTTCCCTAGCACCTGTTCACAAAGGCTACCTCCATAGATCTCTCAGGAAAAGTCAATTGTTTGAATGTCCTTATCTCAGTCCAAGAACAGTATATTAATAGACAAAAGTTTGCAAATCCAAGACCTGTGGGTGTTTCCTCATGGAAACAAAAAAATTCTCTTTAAATCACATAGAGCATTGAAGGTCCAAGTCAAAGGAACTCTTTCCACCTAGAACTTGATGCTGTTGCTTATTCAAAACCATATCCCCCAAAGCACATATTGATGGGGGCCATATGATCACTAAACAATGAAACTTTCCTTCTCAAGCCAGCTGACGTTAAGTCCACAAAGACATTAGAGAATCGAGTTTCCCTCAGCCTACTATCCCATCAAAACGGAAAGGCATGTACTTACCTGTGTACAGGTCAGTGTCTGTGTATTCATCCACTTTCTTGTGCTGCAGAATATAGTCAGAGACCTTGGTCCCAATGGCTGGCTGAACATCCACCCACTCCAGGGAGACCACAGTGCTAGAAGGCTCCACTGTTGGAGAAAGCCGTAACCTACAGGAGTTAACAGGGAAAGCTGCTTACTCTCAAGCTCTTGTCATTCAGGGCCCTAAACAAGTGCATAAATTCAAGATGATGCAAAGTTTCAGCCTGAATTCAAATCTTGATTCCACCTACCACCAAAACCTTACAGGTTCTTAGAGAAATCATTTACTCTTCAAGGTTTCTGTTTCATCATCATAAATTAGGGATACAAAGAGTCCCCTTTGTATCAAGCAACATGATACTGAACAAATTAGCCATGCTCACAGTATAAGCTCAATGGAAACTGGTTAGTTTTCGTTTATTCAAACCATGTCCTCAGTGATGTTCCATTTTTTTAAAATAAATTGGCAGTGACTCCAAACACAGGATTTTGACAATGGAGAATAATTAACACTATATGACATGGCAGAACACAGGAGCTTTCAAACTTCTTGCCCTTCCTTTAAATTCCTGAATACATCAGTCAACTGTTTAATATCCTTAAGTCTCTCAAAAAGAGAATTAGTACTTAATACTCTCTCCAAGGGGCTGGAAAGATGACTTAACAGTTAAGAACAGGTTGTTCTTGCAGAGGACTTGGTTTCCATTCCCATCACCCACATGGTGGCTAATCACAGTGTCTCTAGGTCCAGGGGGATCTGGCACACTCTTCTAATCACCTTGGGCATTTACATACATGCAGGCAATACACTCAAACATATAAAATAAAAATAATAAATAAAATAATTTTAATTAAAAAATACTCTCTCCAAAAGAGAAGGAACTTGGAGTACATTTTTTTTTTGTAAAACAATAAATAACATAATGACTAAAGGTTACTACTGGATCGGCCTTTAGAGACAGTGAAGTGTGATTCCCTCACTTCACAAAGTAGGGAAAGAGAGGTCCCCCAAGACGGAAGGGGCTTGCACAGGGTTACACAGCAAGGCATAGACAGGACCATAGTGGTAACTTTGCCTGAATAGTGTCCAGATTCTTTCTTAATATACACCATACCATACCATCTCTTCAAGGACCATCTTGTAGTATGATTTTTCTCTCCACACAGACATGTTTTACAGCACTCTGGCTTCCAGTACTGACTCCTGGCCATTTCTCTGGCACTTCTTGATCTCACTTCTCCAAGAAAAGTGACCTTTCTTTACTTCCTCAAATAAATATCCTATGTCAGGGACTTCTCATAGGTGGTTCTGTCTGTCCACCTGTTGCCTAGTTGACTATTCCTACCACAATTCAGGTTCCTTAAAAGACGTTTTTCCTGATCACTTCCCCTCGTTTCCACCTAAAGCACTCCTAATGAGCCTCCCTAGGACCAACTATGCTTTCTTTAGTTTTTTATTTAATTCTAAACCATGTCTTTTTACTTCTAGCATCTATCTGTCCTGCTTCATCACCAGCCTCCTAAACGTGTAGTCTGTGTGTCTTTCACCACTGATATTTTCTAACCCAGTGACCTACATACATCAGGAGATCAAAATTACTGACCCAACAAATGAAAGACATGGAGTTCTCTGAGAGTCTATACCTTCTTCATCTCAGGAGATGCACTTAGAATGAAACAAAGCAGGAGTCAGTTTTCCAGCAAATCTGTGTTGAGAGGATGAGTGCAGGAAGGAATGATGGATCATAAGGGATAAAAAACACACACTGCAATATCAGTGTCTCCCCTGTGCCATGCTTCCATTCTGCCAGTGTTCTCCTCTTTCTTAAAGAAGTAGGTAAAGACCAGAGATTTTGCTGACCTGGGTAGGCACCATGGGAACACAAAAATGTGATAGATAGCTTTGTCTGCCAATACAGGAGTGTGAGCTGAAGGAAATGGGGTAACTGAAGGAAGAGGGGCCATACATACGTACACCGGCTGTGGAAGGGGACTGCAGTTGGGAAGCCCACTGGCATCGAAGGCACTGAGGTCACATCTGCACCAGTTATCAATCACATCCCCTTTCCCGGAACACCAGTAAGAACTCATCAGTGCACTCTTGAAAGCCTGAAAGAGAGGATGACAGAGGGATGATGTGATTGTGGTACCGAGACAGAGTAGAGGTGCTGATGGTCCTGATGTCAGCCCACCAAGGGTTTGCAACAGCCTTCCTGCTTCAACCTTTATGACCTTACCACCCAGTTTTCTGATCCTGAGATACTCATTACCCAGCAAAAAGTCTCTTGACAAAGCTAGACAGCAGGCTCAGTTGGGTCTGATGGCCTTGCTTTGCTGGTCTTTGTTTAAAAGAATGACCACTATTATATTTAATTTCAATATTCTTAAAAATATTTTATCATTGGCCCAAAGTTTTCCTTTCCTCGCACTCTAACTCATATTTTTGGTCTCAAATGAGACTTTCTCTTAAACCTGAGATTGATCATGCCTACCTCTACATTTAAGTATCTGTCTTATCCAATAGATACTGGTCTCATGAGGGGAAAGGGACAGACTTTCTTCTCAGGAATATTCAGTATTTAGTAAAAAAATGAATGGCCAGTGAAAAAATTGGGCATTACTATGAGGCAGTGAAGAGAACTTGGAAGGAGTCCCCCACCCAGGTCAGACCTCAACGTATCCCTGTACTGCCTTTCTATTTTCAAGGCTCAGGAAGATGCCTGTAACTTGTGTGTGATGCCTGAGCAAATACACTGGCTAAGTCACTCTATTTTCACCAACATTCCAAGGATTCAGAATGTGGAACAGAGCTCTTTAAAACTTATGGAGTCCAGAGAAGGTTGGTTTTTTACTCCTTCGCCAGGTATGTGCTGGGCCAGCTCTATGCACTTCGTTTCCTTTTCTCCTGTAATTGTTACCTTTTCTGTGCTGTGTAAATGAATGTTGCCTGCTACTTGTCTGGTTACCAAGGACACCTGATTGATCAGATGTCACTCTTTCACATTCTGCAATATTCAAAAGTTGCAAGAACAGAATGTTTGTGGGAAATGGGGTGGATTCTCCCTCCTTAGCTCTCTAGCAGCTACACAGGCCTAGAAGAACACATGTATCAGGGATCCTGTGGCAAGTCTCCATCACACTTCTCCCAGAAGAATCAGCAAGAAGACTACAAAGATTCCTGCTACATATTATTACCAACGCTTCTACTAGGAATGAATAGATTGCATAATTTCTCCTGAGTCAGGTGAGTACCAAAAACTGAAAAAGAACTAAAATAAACGCTGATATTAATGAAGCACACAACTGCACAGCTCAAAGTACTTTACATTAAAATGTAACCTCCAAAACAGTCCCAAAGTTACATATTACAACCCTCATTTACAGATAAGAAAGTTAGGAATCAGTGAGAGACGCGTATTTCCCAAGATCACACAGCAAGAAAATGGTGTAGGCATAATCTCAATCTATATCTCCACCTCTTAGAAAAGAGTGGGTCTTTTCTGCTCAGTCACAAAGATTTGTGGGATTAACTCCCATAGGGTTTCCAGACTCAGTAAATAAAAATAGAACATGCTCAGATTAATTTAAATTTTAGACATTAATTTTTAGCATAAGTATAGTCCATGAAATATTTGCAATAAAGTATCTGGGCCAGAATCAACTGTACAGTATGAGCACACTTCCTACTATGTCCCAGAACCTATGCTAGGGATAAACATTCCTTTTCCTAGCAGCAAGAGAAAAAGAGGTACTCTCATAAGGACAGACCAGATGGGACAGCATGAGCCTGTGCTAACTAGTAGACCTGTCTTCTTTATTTGCAGTTTCCTCCTCAGTAAAACCAGTCTACACAACTAACTGTTCAAGGCTTAAGATTCTCCAACATCTCCAGCCAGAGCTAAGGACTTAATTATCATAACAGTGAAATCCAAGGCCATGGGGGGAAGTGACACAGATGGTAAGATTGTGTTGAAGTCCAGCAATGAAGAGAACATCCTGTTTTATGTGTTTTTGTTTCTTTCTCTGTCTCTCTCCCTCTCTCTCTTCACAACCCCCTGGCCCTGTGTGTGTGTGTGTGTGTGTGTGTGTGTGTGTGTATTCTGTAATCAATAGGAAATTGAGCTTATGGGAAACAAAACAGGAAATCTCCCTGGACTTTGCAAGTTTCATCATTTGGGCAGTTCTTGGGAAGAAATCCTTTCTGTGAGTCTCCACATCCACTGGCTGTTTCCCAGAACCCCGAGGAACAGAATAAGGCCTGGTGCAATGGCCAGGCAAGCCCTGGATAGAGCACAAACACACTCTGATAAAAGTCTAACATCAAACAGGGAGCTCTTTTAAGGCAGCAGAAGCCAGCATTGTGTCAGCGCAGGATCACTCTTCCTTACGTCTTCAGTCCTTGCAACACTCCATCCACAGTCCAATGAGATCCCAGGGGAAGAGAATCATAGAATGTTCCAGCTTCACAGAACTTGGTCTGTAAATCATCTAATCTAATCCATTTACAGATGCAGATACAGTGGCCCAGGGAACCTATCTGGCTGCCTCAAGGTGATAGACACACTCAGTGATTTAAAAAAAAAAAAAACAAAAAACAAAAAACAAAAAAAACCTACTCTTTTCTTTTGATTAATGCTTAAAATTAACCTAGAAGATGTGTTTTCTACCATTTACAGAATATAAAGAAGGAAGGAGCTTGAGGAATTGAAGGTCACTAGAATCCTATACCATCATTGACTTTCCTTGTCACATAGAAACAATAAATGCCAAGGTTTTAGCCAAAATGCACTTTTTGGCTTCTCTGTTTTGAATCATGTGCTGATATGTGAGTGCATGTTTGCGCATATTTGTGTGTACGTGTACTATACGTGTGTGTGTGTGTGTGTGTTTGTGTGTGTCTGTGTGTGTGTGCATGCCGGTGTTCTCAGAGGACAATGCAAACTTGCACTGGAGGCATTCTGACTCTTAGCTTTTGAGGGGATCAACATTCTCATGGTCATTGGTTTTCATAACAAAGAAGGTTTGCATTTCCAGAACTTGTAAATGCTTCCAAGTTCAAGCTAATTAGTTAGTAAACCAAGTTGAGCAGGAGGAGAAAAACAGCCACAGAAATGTTAAGCAATCAAAATAAACTAGGATTTATTCCTGACGCTATTGTTACTTTCTTATTTGAAATTGCATAAGTGATTCTTCTTTATAAGCCTCAATTTCCCCATCTGTAAAGCGAAAGGGCAGAAAATACATTATTGGAGGTTGAATTGAGTTCAATAAACATTCCCTGAACTTCTTACTCTTACCATGTGTTGCCTAAAAGTTAAAAAGGGGAAGAACAAGACCCAGTGGCTAACTTCAAAGGACTCATGGTTTAATGGTAAAGACACACTCAAAGAATTAAAATTACTATGGTTCAAATGCTGTGAAGTCATACACATAGGAAGCTGTGGGACTACAAAGGAAGGGACCTTTCCAGCTCTAAAAATTATTGCAATGCCTTAAGAATCTTAAACCTTAAGTAAACATCCTGCATTTCATTAAGATATTTAGGACAATGTACACAGAATGTCATTAAGTCCATGAATTAAATTCCATACTCCATACTTGTAATGACTGTATTTTTATGACTGCATATCCTATTTTACACTAAAAATTAGTATCACTTGCTGACAACAAGACAGTTATTTCTGATGTTGAGATAGTTATGGTCTGTAAGACTCCAAAATGATACTCTGAAGTCCTCACTCCAAGTTTTATGGATTGTATTATCTCTATAAGACTAATAAACCTGGTCATGTGACTTCCCAATTTATACCAAATAAGGAAGGGAAAGGCATTCTAAAGACAAAATAATCTATTATCTTTTTCTTCTCTGGCTCCATTTCATGGCCTAACATAATAACTCACATGTAATATAAATAAGTCAATATTTGTTAAATTGAAATCAAAGTTCACATGGAATGCTAAGTGAAACAAGCCAATTCGTAAACAGTAGAAGAAAACGTTTGTGATCTTTTTCTTACCCAACATCATTTATATGATGCAAGTCAGTTTGGTGCATCCAGTCAAACACTGGGGGTCATTCTGAGCTCCTTCCTCTATCTCAAAATCAACTTCCCTTCCCTGGTCTCACTGCTGTGACTCTTACAGGGTGGGTAGTCACGCCTTTTCAACAGGCAATAATCACAGTCTGTGGACTGGACTCTTAGCTCCAAGCTCAGCTATTCCCTCACATCCTTTCACAGCTGCCTAAAGGATCAGTGCTTCGTCTGTCCTCATGCTTGAACCTCTTCAAAATTCCCCATCTTTCAGCTAAATCCTCTACTAATTAAGTTGACATTCATTGTCCTTTATCATAAACTGTGTCTCTTCACTCATCTAATCCCAAATGCTGTGGTCTAGTACATTCTCACATCTCGGGGAAGGAACTTTAGTATTTCACACCCACAAGCATTTTCTACATTGAGTCTTCGGTTTGAAATGCCTTTTCTCCACTTGCTCCTTTTTGCTGAACTGCAAGAAATTCTCCTTGACCCACAGAGCCTTACCATACTTTGGCAGATTTATTTCCCACTTTTTCTCATTCAAATTCTGTACATTTCACATTTCTTTGTAATTTATGTATCTTTCTCACCTATTAGATAGTGAAATCCTTTAGCCAAGATCGTAGTTGTGATTCATATCTGTGTCATAAGCTCTAAGATAGAGTTGAACACACAAGAAGTCTCCAAAATGGGTTTTAAATCATAAAATTAAAATAAGATACTTTGTCAAACTAAACTGAGGAGGGACGACCCATCCTGAATGTAAGTGCCACCATCCCACAGGGGTCAAAAACTGAGTAAAAACGGCAGAAGGAAAGAACGAGCTGTGTACCCAAGTCTATCTCTTTCTGCTTCTTTGCTGTGACAGCAGCGTGACAAGCTGCCCCATTTTCTCACCATCATGGACTGTATCCCCTCCAACTGTGAACCACAATAAATCCTTCCTTTAGTTGCTTTTGTCTGGTATTTGTCACAGCAACAAGAAAAGTAACAGAGAAAAACCAGCTCTGAGGACTATTACTGTGACAAAATGTGTGGAGCGATTTGTAGGCCATTAGGACTGGTTTGTGG